CTTGAGATCATGACCTGATCTGAAATCAAGAGTTAGATGGTTAACCTACTGAGCCACCCGATGCCCCTGGATACCCTTGTTTTAAACCAGAATCTTAAATTCTCAGCTGACAGTTTCTTAATAAGAAAATGTGCATGTCTACTTGGTTTCTAAACGTTTTGCTAAGACATTATCATGAATGTGAGGTTTAATATCTCTATGCTGTTCCCTGTGTATCAGTCTTTATAAATCCTAATCAACTAAGTATGAAGTTACAGATAGTAGTTCATATAGTGCCTGACACACAATGGAAATTTAATAAATCAATTGAATTTGAATTGTTACATAAGTGGACTACTTAGTGAAACAAAAGACTTGCACTTTAAAACATATTTGGAGTGCCTGGATGGCTCAGTCAGTGAAGTGTCCAGCTCCTGATTTCAGCTCAGGTCATGATCTCAGGGGTGTGAGATGGAGCCCTGTGTGTTGGCAACTGTACTCAGCAGGGACTCTGATTGAGATTCTCTTTCTCCCTCTACCCCTTTCCCTCCAGTGCTTGCCTGCTCGCTCTCTCTCTAAAGTGAGTAAATCTTCAAAGAAATTTTTGAAAACACGTTTAAATACTTCTTAGAGAATGTCATTTTATTTTAAATTATCTATTTAAGTCTAATAGCATAATTAATTTTGAATATGTTCTCACAGACTTACATGTAAAAGTCAATAAACAGACCTTTGCCACTTGTGTGAAGTGGCTATTTAACCATGAAATAAACTATTTTTATTGCTGTTGCCCTGTGGATATGTTCTTTCTGGCAGTGCTGTCCATATTTGGTGGCTCTGCATGGAGAGCCAGGTGATGCTGAAAAGCATCGCACAGTGAAGCGTGGATATATCTAGGTTCGACATTTGTCATCCCTTACTGCTGAAGGGAAGGGTAAAATCTGTTTTTCCATATGTTTATGCTTTTTTTTTTTTTGCCCGCAGTTTTGTCCAGATGGTCTTATGAACATTGTTTACTTTAGTTTGCTATCCCAGATGTTTTGAAAACTGATGGGTAAATGTGGTACACAGATACATAATCATTTGTGTGTTACAGTTTTAAAAAATGTTATTCTTGTAAGAATAAAATATAATTTATTTCTGGAAGTATTTATCCAGTGAATGATAAAAATATTAAAATACAAAAATACGTATTTTATTTATGGTTACTATAATCTATATAGTTTATTTTCCCCAACATTTTTTCATGTTAATAAGCAAAAAAAATATATATATATGTGTATATATATATATATATATATATATATATATATATATTATGGCAAAGTGAACTAAACAAAATGCTTTTGAGGAGTCATTTGTCAGGGCTGTGCATATCTAGATATGTAAGACTCTTGCCTTCCTATCTTTTATAATTCTTCTTATTGTACATAAATCACTGGAGAGAAATTAGGTGATAAAATGGCAATAGATTTGTAATGAAAAGACTGTCATTGTGACTTTGGGCAAATCACTTAACCTGTTGGAGACTGAGCTTTGTAAACATAAAGCCAGAGGAACAACCTTGCCAAAAAGATGGGCTAATGCTTGGATTTAATTATTCTGTTGTTTTAACGATCTTAAAAATCACTAGGAAGCCATCTAGTGGCAACAACTGTAACGAGAGCCGAAAGCAGCCAATTCTAGGCTCTAGTTGGAATCTCAGATATAATGAAGAGGTGGACTCATTTGCAAACCCAGCCAGGACCCATATGGGGCCTCCTCTTGTTTGTGTAGTGCTTCTTAACCCCTGACTGGCTGTTTTCATTTGCATTTACATCCACTTGCAGGTTTGAGTACTGTCTTGCTTTTTCCTGCTTTTGCTTTCCTCCGTGCCTTGCCCCTGCACTTCAGTGACCTCTCCATTGATTGTACCAGCCTTTTCCCCCAAGCTGTAATATGGAGCTTAATTCTTATCCTTGTTTTAATATATGGAAGCAGGAGAAGAGATCTATCTTGCTAATTTTTCTCGGTGTTAACTCAGAACTCTAGCGTTGGGAGTCAAAAACAACTCGTAAGTACCTAGACAACAGACATCCAGTAACAATGGCTAATGTTTAAAGAATAAGCCAACAGGGGCCTTGGGTGACTCAGTCAGCTAAGCAGTTGACTCTTAATTTTGGCTCTGGTCATGATCTCTGGGTCCTGGGATCCAGCCCCACTTTGGGCTCTGTGCTCAGCAGGGAGTCTGCTTAAGGGTTCTCTCTCCATCTGCCCCTACTTCTGCTTGTGTGCCCCCCCCACTTCAAATAAATAAGTCTTAAAAAAAAAAAGAATAAGTGAACAGTAATAAAATGGGTGATAAGTTCTATGGGAAAATGTTATGTCACAGATAAAAGTTACTAAGACTTGAAAGAAAAATATTTTCCCTGCAGTAGATTTACTTAATGAAAAAAAAAAAAACCTTAGAAACCACCAGTTCATTTTTCTCAATGAGGTCACGTTTCCATATGTTTAAAAGAAAAGCCAAGAAGCTATGAAAACCACAAAGTCGATATAAAAGGCAAAATTTATATTAGCAATTCAGAAAATCAATTAGAAATAAGAGATAAGCTTGAGACAAAACCCCAGGAAGTTACAGGAAATGATTAAAGAGGAGAAAAAAGTGAGGACAGATAAATGATGGGTATGAAGAATAGCTTATGAAGGTATGGATTTTGGCACAAACAACAATTAGGGGGAGAGCCTCCCCCTTGATTGATGCCTTTTGTCTGACAAAAGTCACAGATGCCAAGCCTTATTTGAACCAATAGGTTGTGAATGATAGCAGTCTGCCCATACCTGAGATTCAAGTTTCTCTTTATGGTGTTTACTCCCTGTTTCTGTCCCAGAAAACCACCTCTAGCCTTGTTCATATCCCTTAATGCTGTTGCATAAAAGGGCAGGAAGGGAGGGGATGTCTTAACTCATTTACTCTTAAGAATTCATCAGAAGCATGGAGGGCCAAGATGCTACTGAATCTGCTGTTTAATCTGATATGTTTTCATTTATATTGAATTTTTATTATGTGTGTTCTCCCCAACATTACAAAACCCTTGTAAAGAAAGAGCAGTAGAGGGCACCCTGGGTGGTTCAGCAGTTTAGCGCTGCCTTTAGTCCAGAGCGTGATCCTGGAGACCAGGGATCGAGTCCCACATCAGGCTCCCTGCATAGAGCCTGCTTCTCCCTCTGCCTGTGTCTCTACCCCTCTCTCTGTGTCTCTCATGAATAAATAAATAAAAAATCTTAAAAAAAAAAAAAAAACGAGCAGTAGTAAGACATTTTCTGATCTCCATCAGTCTGGCTGGGGAGACAGCCAAATATTTAAAAATTAATTAGCAAGGCAAGGCAGTATGTCAGTATTAGATGAATAAAGCATATATTTGCAAAGAACTACAAAATCTGAGGGTTTAAAGGAATTTAAAAGAGTATTTCAGTTAAAACCAAAGGACTTGAGAACTTGGGAATTTCTTGTCAAACTCCAAATTATATGTTTATATTTTTAATAGATTTTATTTATTTGAGAAGGCAAAAACATGAGTGAGGGCAAAGGGGAGCACAGAGGGAGAAGCAGAGAATCTCAAGTGGATTTGTGCTGAGCACGGAGCCCATCTTGGGGCTCAATCTCACCACTCTGACGTCATGACCTGAGTTGAAATCACGAGTCAGACACTTAACTGACTGAGCCCAAGAGCCCTTCAAATTACATTTTGATTCAGCAAGTAATGTGCTGTTGAAATAGATATGATCAATCATGTCAGTTTGTAAATGTTAGAAGTTGTTCTTCATTTTCATATTGTTTTGAAAAATGAATTGATACTATAATTTTCAAATTTTCATAAATTATGTAAGCCAGTGAGCCCAAAAGATGCACATATGTATCATACATATAGGCATTTTGCTTTTTATATTATAATATAGTTCCATAATTTTTTAAACATTTTAACAGTTTCAATCTTACAGAAAAGTTGCAAGAATGATACCAAAAAATTGCCACTATATGGTGATTTTACAATTCCAACATTTCTTCTGTGTGTTCATTGGCATTTTCTTGTTAGTTTTTTTTTAAAGATTTATTTATTTATTTATGATAGAGAGAGAGAGAGAGAGGCAGAGACACAGGTACAGGGAGAAGCAGGCTCCATGTCAGGAGCCCACCATGGGACTCGATCCTGGAACTCCAGGACTGTGCCCTGGGCCAAAGGCAGGCGTCAAATCGCTGAGCCACTCAGGGATCCCCAGTTTGTTTTTTTTTTTTAAGATTTTATTTATTCATTCATGAGAAACACAGGCACCCCGCTGAGGGCCCTATGTGGGACTCAGTCCCAGGACCCTGGGATCACGACCTGAGCCAGAGGCAGACGCTCTACCACTGAGCCACCCAGGTGTCCCTGTTGGCATTTTCTTGTATGGAAGAGTTTTTCCCTTTTCTTCCCATTTAGAAAACATATTATTGATTCTGACTCATTCTCATTTTGTTCAGTGAATAGTAAACTATTACTACCCTTCTTTATTTTGATATTCACATTGGACCAGTGGGAGCCTATTCGGAGTGGTCCATGAGTATTTCAACCTAGTCATCACTTTCTTATTTTCCTTCCTTATTTTCTGCTCACAATAAAAGTGTTATAGGCTTACTTTGTTTCTTTGCCACCCTAGGTTGAGAATCAGCCTTTTCTTCAAGAAGTTTTCATTTCTTTTAGTGGGAAATGGTATTTAGGTACCAAGATCTGGATGTTTCCTTCTTGATTTGTTTCAACTTTATTCTTTTATGCTTTACTATTTAATTCATGTGGAATTTATTCTTCAGTGTGGTATGTGGTATAAATGTGTAGCAGTTAAGATACAAGCCAGAGACATTTATTTGTGTTTGTGTTCTTGCCTTTCAGGGACAGCAATTCAGGGGAAAATCTTAATTTTAATTAATGTATTTAAATTATTTCAAATTATTTATGTATAGATGTATATGTTTAATTTTACATCTTATGTGTTCTGTAACTTAGGTGCATTTTCTAGAATCCTGAAACTTTGTGAAGAAAAATGTGAAACAGGTGAAAAGAAGGGAAGAAAAGGAAGCAGTGTAACAGCTGTGAAAGGAATTTCAAATTTAGGAAATACTTGCTTTTTTAATGCAGTTATGCAGGTAAGAGCCATCAGGAATCTTTGTAAAATATAAAAGATTAATTTATATTTATTGACGTATCTATAAACTAGCTAATGACTGCTAAATGTTCCCCTAGAAATTTCTGTTTTCTTGTTTGTTTTAGGATATCTTTAACTGTTGCTACTTACATACATACACCACCTTTTCACACATTGCTTCCAAAAGGCCTTCTCTCTGTGTTTTATCGTGGTTCTGTCTGTAATACTGACATTTATTTATTTATTTATTTATTTATTTATTTATTTATTTATTTATTTTTAAAGATTTAAAATAAATAAATAAAATAAAAAAAATAAAGATTTTATTCATTCATTCTTAAGACACACACACACACACACACACACACACACACACAGAGGCAGAGACACAGGCAGAGGTTAGAAGCAGGCTCCATGCAGGGAGCCTGATGCGGGACTTGATCCTAGGACCCTGGGATCATGCCCTGGGCTGAAGGCAGGTGCTAAACTGGTGAGCCACCCGGCTGCCCCAATACTGACATTTATTAAATGTGAAATGTGGGGGCACCTGGGTGGCTCAGTGGTTGAGTGTCTGCCTTTGGCTCAGGTCATGGTCCAGGGTCCTGGGATCGAGTCCCTCATTGGGCTCCCCACGGAGAGCCTGCTTCTCCCTCTGCCTGTGTCTCTGCCTCTCATAAATAAATAAAATCTTAAGAAATAATAAATTGAAATTTGCTCAGTAAAGTTTTTTAAAACTTAAGAAAAATATTTTTTGCGATGCTAGATGACATGTGAGAGTCTAAGAGACTATTCCATAGAATCAGAGGCATATTACAACCAAATCCCAAGACTTTACGTTTGTTTTCTTTTAGAACTTGGCCCAGTCTTACATTCTTATGGAACTGATGAATGAGAACAAAGAAAATGGTACAAAACTCAAGATTTTTCCTTCCTCAGACTCTCAGCTGGTAAGAAGTATGACTACCTGGATATTAGCTCTTTTTAGATGGACGACTGATGGTGCCAAAATCTATCTTTATATTTCTTAGCACTGTTAACTGAGATGATGTTTTGAAAAAAAATTTTGAAAAAATAATTCAAAAGCAGTTTGAAAATAATCAGATTTAAAAATTCTAAGGTTATATCTTCAAGATAGAGGTCTAACAATACAAAAATTTAAGACAGCTTTCAAATAAAAGGGATTTGGATTTTGTTGAGCAAAATGTCTGGGACTCCTGTTTTGTAGTTATTGGTAACATTTGCTTAAATACAGCATTTTAGTTCTTTTTTTTTTTAAGATTTTATTTATTTATTCATGATAGTCACACAGAGAGAGACAGAGAGGCAGAGACACAGGCAGAGGGAGAAGCAGGCTCCATGCACCGGAAGCCCGACGTGGGATTCGATCTCGGGTCTCCAGGATCGCGCCCTGGGCCAAAGGCAGGCGCCAAACCGCTGCGCCACCCAGGGATCCCGCATTTTAGTTCTTTAAAGGTAGATTTCAGGGGATCCCTGGGTGGCGCAGCGGTTTGGCGCCTGCCTTTGGCCCAGGGCGCGATCCTGGAGACCCGAGATCGAATCCCACGTCGGGCTTCCGGTGCATGGAGCCTGCTTCTCCCTCTGCCTGTGTCTCTGCCTCTCTGTCTCTCTCTGTGACTATCATAACTAAATAAAAAAATTAAAAAAAATAAAGGTAGATTTCATTTTAATAGCATCAAAAGGTTTTTTGGAGCCTAGTCTGAAAATAGGCTTTTAAGCTAGTGAGAACAGAAGAAAAAAGAAAAAAAAAAAAAAAACAGCCCTTAACATTGAGAAGCTGGCCTGGCACCCACAGTTAGGCCATATTGTTCAAACAATCTCAGAGAAAGCCAACCTCAGGCTAGGTTGCTCGGAGACTGATAAAATAAGACAAAGCAAGTCCCCTTCATAATTTTATCTAAACACAGACAAAAACCGGGTTAGTCTACCACTTAGAAAAATCCCAAGGACCCTCTTTTGACCAAGGTGAGAGCCTGCTACTTCTTTACTAGTTACAGCTTTAGCCTCATTCTTATCTCCCAAAGGGACTGGAATTTCGGTTATCCTAACTCAGAGATAAAATTTATCGATACCCAGTCAAGAATTGCTTCCCCCTGACAGCACTCAATTGAGAGCAAACTTTTGCTTCCTTATACTCTCCCCCAGCTTATTCAGCCAAAGCCCAAATCCTATCTCCATTCTTTCCAGTACCCTCTTATTGAGACATGCCATGCTTTCCCATGGTGTGTGTTCTCCCTAAATGCAGCAAGTAATACATCCCTCTTCAACTACCAGCGTGTTCCTGGTAGTCTTTGGCCGGAGAGCACTGACACTAGTAATAATGTTTTTAGTTAGAAATGGATTCATATGTCTGTGTTTTAGAGGAAGAGAATGTATATATAGTTCATAGCTTTTGAAAACACTTAAGAAAGGGGAGTTCCAAAAATTCTTAGCCCAATGGAGTAATCTTGGATTTTTTCTTCCAAGAAGGCATTTTGAAAGACAGTATTGTTGTTTTGCTTTATTGAAAAGGTAGCCTGTAAACTTATTGCCTGTTCAACCCCTTAAAATTTTTATGGCAGATCCCAGTGCCCTCTTCTGAAGTGTAGTGAGGTAATTTGATATAGCTGACCCTTTGGGTGTGTGTTATTCTAAGAGGAGAGTTTCAATCTTAGAACTTAAGTCTTTGGGACCTAGAGTTGACCTGAGCTGGAGAACTACAATGTAGATCACTACTCCTTGAATCACGAGTTTTACTTTGTCCCAGGGCCCTGGGATCGAGTCCCAAATTACATATATAATTTGTAAATTATATATGCCTTTTGTTTCTTGTCCTTACCTTATTGTACCTTGAACCTCTAGTAACATATTGCATAGAAATGATGAGAGCAGACCTCCTTGCCTAAAATCCCCAAAGTAAGGGGAAAATATTTAGTCTTTAACTTCATTCCTGATGTTAGTGAACTGTAGGTTTTTCATAGGTGTTTTTTTTTTCTTTTAATATCTGGAAGTTTGTACCTTTTAACCTCATTTGCCCATCTTACTCATCCCCTCACCCCCTGCCTCTGGCAACCACCAATCTGTTCCCTATGCCTATGAGCTGGTTTTGGGGTTTTTGTTTTATTTTAAATTCCACATGTAACATCCTATGGTATTTGTCTTTCTCTGTCTGACTTATTTCACTTAGAATAATGCTGACAGGGTCCATCCATGTTCTTGCAAATGGCAAGGTTTCATTCGTTTTTATGGCTGAGTAATATTCCACTGTATGTATTGCACATCTTTATCCATTCTTCAACTGATGGACACTTGGGCTGCTTCTATAATTTGACTATGGTAAATAATGCTGCAATACCAGGGATTTATATATCCCTTTGAATTAGTGGTTTTGTATTCTTTAGGTAGAGTGATTACCAGATCATACCGTAGTTCTATTTTTAATTTTTTGAGGAACCTCCATACTCTCTCCACAGTGACTATACCAGTTTGAATTGCCACCAATAGTGCATGAGGGTTCCTTTTTTCCCACATCCTGGCCCAACATTTGTTGTTTCTTGTGTTTCTGATTTTAGCCATTCTGACAGGTGTGAAGTGCTATCTCATTGTGGTTTTGATTTGCACTTCCCTGATGATGAGTGATGCTGAGCATCTTTTCATGTGTCTGTTGGCCATCTGGATGTGTTCTTTGGAGAAATGTCTGTTCATGTCTTCAGCATGGCAGAGAGCACTTGATATTCAGAAGCTATGGGAAATTATAGCTTGTCTGTTCTGTGGTTTTAGTTAGAAGGTAGATCTTTAAGGATAGTTGGTAGAAAATATCCATGTAACATGTATTTCATTAATACATGAATGAGACAATGTATTTGACAGTTGTCTTAGAAGATAACATTCTGTAGTGTCCCAAGATTATATTTGGGATATGCTTTTTTTTCATTGTCTGTAAGAAGAGAGGGTTATTGGTGAAGATAACATTTTAGAAAGCAAAACCTGGAGGGGAAAAAATTCTAGAATAAAATGGGTTTCTTCTTTACACAATTTTAGCTGCTCTTGTCTAAGCTTTATGACTCTTGTAAAAGAGGGAGAGTGACATACCAATTTTGTGCCTATTTTCCAATTCCTTATTTTATTAGTAGAATTTTTGGGGAAAAGAAGGGTATGGAGTTTTGGTAATAAATGTAATTTGTGATGACAAATAAAGATGTACAAATATCAAGTAGATAAGTAATTTTACTTTTAGGAGAGCACATTTTTTTAAGATTTTGTTTTTTTAAGTGATCTCTACTCCCATTGTGGAGCTCGAACTCACAACCCTGAGATGAAACTGCATGACGGAGCCCATCAGGCACCCCTAGGAGAGCACATTAAGTTATAAGCAACTAAAGATTGGTGATTTCACTCTTAGCTAATAGTTTTATTAAGTAAGGGCCAGAGGATATGAGTATACTTGTGTTCAAGATAAGGCATTTAATTCTATTTTCTAATATTCATTTTACATACATAGGAATGAAATTTATTCACTTAAGCCAATTTAGTTGTCATCATGTAAGCGAAGTATAACTCTTAGATTTTTAAATAATATTTAATTTTAAAATTGCATATTTCTGACATAATGTTGATCATGTTTTTAAAGGACCCATTAATAGTGGAACTTTCAAGCCCTGGACCATTGACCTCAGCCTTGTTCCTGTTTCTTCACAGCATGAAGGAGACTGAAAAAGGACCACTTTCTCCTAAAGTTCTTTTTAATCAGCTTTGTCAGAAGTGGGTGCATCTAATTTCTTGATACAAATAATTATGAGTTATGAAATTCTGTTGTATCACATAATATGAGTAGTTTCACTCTTACTGAAGCATCACTATTGTTTAGACTCTCAAAACAAAGAACTAGTATTTATTTAGTTGCAGCTCTGTGCTTTATGTAAATTATGTTTTATAGTACTCTAAAGAAGTGCTTGTTTATCCTCTTTTTATAAATAGGAAACTGAGACTCACAGAAGTTGAGTAGCTTACGTCGCTTTATAGTGACAAAGCCAGGATTCAAATAGAGCTTTGTCCTGATTCAGAAGCCCAAGGTGTAATAACAAAAAGTAAGAAAATTATAGAATTATAAAATCTAAAAGGTGTGATAATAGGTCATCTAAATCTAGTTTTCTTATTTTTTTCTTTTATTTTATTATTTTTTTAAGTACACTCTACCCACAATGTAGGGCTCAAACTCACAACCCATGATCAAGAGTTGCATGCTCTACTGACTAAGCCAGCCAGGTGCCTTCTTTATTTTTAAAGCTGAGCATTGAGGCAAACAGAGTTTCAGTGGATTTCTCAAGATAGTACTCTGTGTTCAAAAACAAAATCCTGTGTGCCTAGGAATAAATATATACCATAAAGGAGCTGACTTAACTTTAATTCTTTCATTTTTTTCTTTCATCTAAAAAATGGAGAACTTATTTATGTCAGATACTTGTTAGAATCTAAGGGTACACAATGTATAATATATTAAAAATAGACCTTGTCATGGACCTCATGAACTAGGTCCCAGTCCACAATTACTAAAATAGTTAGAAATAAAATTCTTTAAATGGAAACTTGCATTTTTGTGTATCTTTGTGTAAAGGCTTTAAGATTTCAATTTAAGCTAGTTATTTGTGCCATGGTATATATAAAATATATTGTACTTTATCTCATAGAACTGTACCAATGTTAATTTAAAAAAAAATTTAATTGTGGAAAGAACACTTAGCATGAGCTCTGCCTTCTTAAAATTTTTTAAGTGGACAATGTATTATTGTTGACTTAGGTACAATGCTCAGCAACAGATCTCTAGAGCTTATCCAACTTGCTTGAGTGAAAGTTCATGCCCACTGATTATGCCTGCATGTTCGTTTCCCCTTCACTCCAGCCCCTGGTAGACACTGTTGCACTCTGATCTATGAATTTGACTATAAATGGAATCACACTGTCTTTCTGTGACTGGCTCGTATCACTTAGCATCATGTGCCATGATATTTTAAATGTAGTACAAAATATAGAGGGTTTATTATGTTTCATTCAGTTGGCAAATGCTGTTTTTTCAAAGCCTGAAGAATAAAAAATTCTGTAAAAGTGTCAGACATTGATACTCGCAGAGTTAAAAAGTTTTTAGGATTCTATGTGCTGCATAAATTTGTTTTGGCTCTGTCAAAAATAACTTTGTTTTGTATCTTTTTTTGTTTTTTATAAAGATTTTATTTTTTTATTTATTCATGAGAGACACAGGGAGGCAGAGACATAGGCAGAGGGAGAAGCAGGCTCCATGCAGGGAGCCTGCTGCAGGACCTGAGCCGAAGGCAGACGCTCAACCACTGAGCCACCCAGCTTTCCCAAAGATTTATAGATTTTTTTTAATTGTTAAAATAAAAGATGCTCATGGATAAAAGTTCGAAGTGCTATTATTTGTACCTTATTTATTTTTTCAAAAGTGATTCCTTGCACAGATGTATATACAAATTGTTTGCAACTTGCTTGTTTTGCTTAATATGTTTTTTACATTTTTCCATATTAGCACATGCAGGTGTGACTTATTTGATTTAATGTGTGTGTATTGCACTTGGGAGAGTACATCTGTGGGATAAATAGAATTATTGGATCAAACACTATTTGAAAAAATTTAAAAATTGCATTTGCTTTGTTCTGTTTACTTTAAAAATATATATATTTAAAAAATCTCAAGATTAAAGCCATATATGTTGAGTCTGTTTTTTGGACTCTTCTGTTCCATTGATCTACACATCTGTCTGTACCCTAGTTCTGCACTGTCTCCATTGCTGTAGCTTCATAGTCTTTTTTTTTTTTAAGACTTTATTTATTTATTTATTCATGAGAGACAGAGAGAATGGCAGAGACACAGGTAGAGGGAGAAGCAGGCTTCCCGGAGGGAGGCTGATGTGGAACTTAATCCCTGAGCCAAAAGCAGATGCTCAACCGCTGAGCCACCCATCTCCATAGTCAGTCTTAGAATTGGATAGTGTGAGTGCTCAAACTATTTTTTCTTAACTACTCCAGGTCCTTTCCTTTTCTATATGAATTTTAGAATCCGTTTGTTTTAATTGAGATTGCATTTAGTGATCAGTTTGGAGAGGACATCTTAAGAATATTGAGTCTTCCAATGTATGATTATGAGATATCTTTTCCCTTATTTAGGTATTTGATTTTTCTCATCAGATTTTGTGGTTTCCAGCTTACAAATTCTGCACTATCTTGTTAGATTTACCTTAAGAATTTCACATTCTTAAACACTATTTATTGTAAATTGGTACTTTAAAAAAATTTTAGTTTCTAGTGTACATTCCTAATATGCAGAAGTACACTTGATTTTTGTATATTGGTCTTGTTTCTTGCTCCCTTGCTCAATTCACTTACTGGTTATAATAGGTTTATGTAGATTCCTTGGGATTTCCTATGACAACAATGTCATTGGTAAATAAAGACCATTTTATTTCTTTCCACTCTGTATCCTTTTATACATTTTTCTTACCTTATATAACTGGCAAGGACCTCCAGTACAATGTTGGAGTGGTAAAGTAGGCATCTTTGCTTTGTTTCTGATCTTAGGGGCAGAGCATTCAGTCTTTTACACACACACACACACACACACACACATCTGTATCATTATCTATGATATATATTCTCAGTTCTGTGATATTCTGTGGTATGTCATGTGCCTTACGGAGTGCCAACAAATTCTTAAGATAGAGTGAAAGTATAGTATATTATATCTTTAATTTGCAAATTGACCCTTCCACTGTGTATAGTTTAGAGTTTATCCCATCTTTTGTATTTTTATACTTGTGATTTTATTTTCCTATTTCTAATATTTTCATTTGGCTAATGTATCAGTATCTATTTGTCCTTTTAAATTTTTTCCCCTACTTTTCCTAACATATAGGCCTTTGACAGTTATGTCTTTAGATTTTTGTACACTCTTAACATATTGTAACAGCTTTGGGACAGTTCTATAAAATATTTTGGAGTAAAGAAAATTCACCTCAGTTATTGATTTTTCTTTAGTATATGTGCTGCCAAAGAACACAGTTGTTGAATGTTTTGCCTTTTCCCCATTTTTGCCCCTTCCATGTCCTCTACCCTTCCTTGCTTCCCTGCCATTTTCTTTACCTCCTCTCCCTTCCATGGCCTCCCTGCCTCATATCCCTCTCCTGTATGCATAAAAATTTCAAATATTAATACAAACTAGCCTCTGCACTCTGGGCTGGCCTTGGAGATCCAGGTCTCATACTGGCTCACAGTTACCCTGCTGCCTGCCACTTGTTTGGGGGATGTGAGGAGAGTCTGTAGAAGGTCTGGCCTAGTTTCAGGTCCCTAGGCTATGTCTGGGTTGTGTTGTAGCTTTAGACGTTTGCCTGAGGGCTTCCTTTGAAGCTCTTGGCAAGGTCAGGCAACCTTAAATAGTGCGCCCAGTTCTGGTTCCTGTCTGAGGTGGAGTATTTTTCATTTCCTTTACTCTTCAGAGCTGAGCCTTTAACCCATAAAGTCTGTTTTTACCTCTGCTATTTTGTTCTATTTTTGCTCTGTGGGATTTATTTGTATTTAATTCAGGTTATGCCTTTGTTTTTTGTTTTGTTTAGCTTTTTTTTTTTATATTTTGTCAATATGCTTTGACTAGAGAGAGGTTTTTGATTATCAACAGATTGATTCATCTTCATCCACAAGACATCTCCACAAATTCTCTCTTGTTCTAAATATCTTTTTTTTTCTTTTTTTTTTTTTTTAAGATTTTGTTTATTTATTAATGAGAGACACAAAGAGAGGCAGAGACATAGGCAGAGGGAGAAGCAGGTTCCCCACAGGAAGTCTAATTTGGGACTCAATCCCAGGACCCCAGGATCATGATCTGAGCCAAAGGCAGACGCTCAACCACTGAGCCACTCAGGTGCTCCTAACTTTCTTTTTCTTGTTAATCTATTCCTGTTTCATGAGTATGCATACATTTTCTTCTTACAACTTGAGATTTTTTTTCAAGTTTTCTCCTCTTTCCCACAATAACACTTTTACTAAGGTACATTTCCTGTGTATGTTTCATGTTCCCTTCATTTTGAATAGGATGAATCTTTTCATATTTGGTGATTTTTCTCTTTTTAGGTTTGAAGATCTCTTTGGTATTAGTAGTTCAGATAAGCTCCATTAGAGATCTATAAGTCATCATAGAATTTTTTACCCAGTCCTAGGTAGAAGAAGAAAAAAAAAATCTAGCTTTGTTAAATTTTCTTGAGTGGTTTAGAAGGTGGTAATTGCTCTGTGCATAGTTGAGATGGAGCTATAGGCAGAGACATGGTGGAAACAGTTTCTCCTTTGTTCAGGGATAATTTCTATCCTGTGCATCTGTTTTGAAAGCAATAGACTGTTCTTCCTATCTGCCGCCAGGCAGATAAGAATCTCTGAAGGATTCCCTGGTTTCCTCTTGCAGTCTTCTTCTAAATCACTGGCCTTCCTTGATGCCTACAGCACAAATGTCATGTTATGCAATTTCAGCCTTTCATGGACTCCAGCCATGGAATCCAAATAGGGTTGGGATGTGTGTCCATCTTGGTTTCTGTCCTCAACTCTGATCTAGAAGGTGAGCAATACCACCACATGCAAAAGGAGAAGCCCACAAGGGGAGTAAGTCAAAGTCTTTTCAACATCATGCTGTTTTTGCTACTTAAGAGTAACTGAACTTACGGCTCCTGTTACAGGCTAGACTCACTACTATTTCAGATAGCTTTTTGGCACCAGGGACTCACATTAATGCATTATTGGAGTGAATATTAATTATGAGATAAGGAATAATACTTAAAGTATTGGACCTTAAGAATCAGAAGACCTGGATTTATGTCAGGCACTCAGCTTGTTCTTCAGTTTTCTCAAGTGTAAAACAGAGTTTATATTAATTATGAATTTTGTAACAGCACTGCTGTGCATATCAAATGAGATATGTTACACATATCCTAAGGAGACCATTGTAAACTTCTGCCATAATATATTCTTACTGTTTTATATTATTTGGACAAAATTCTTTCTCCAGCTTAGAGCACTATCTAAATTTAGTACTTATTTTCATTTAAGGCAAAATGCTTATTTTAGTATTATAGTTTATTGCAGAAAATACTACTCTTTAAAGTGACTGAAATCAGCTAAATATTTGTTTGTTATGATGTCTCCAGAAATAACACCTGATCCTTTACTTACTACAAAGATATCTAATTGCTAAATCCTTAAAATCAATATATTCACAGAGATACCAGTTTATAGTTCTTTATTTTAATCTAAATAACCTCTTTTTTTTTCTTTTGGTTTTTCAGGATAGGAAGATAGTAGATCATGGGGGGTTGGGTTTGAATACTGTTTTTTTGCTTGTTTTGTGACTTTATAAATTATGTAAATAATCCCTCTAAGCCCTGATATTTAAAGTGGAGAAAATAGTGCCTCCCAAGCTTGTTTGAGAATTTTATGACTTGACATTCATATATAAAGCTTAACACGTATGTACTATGCTTGCATGTAGTAGTTGCTTGATAAATGATAGCCATATTATTCTCTGTGTACCTAAGATCTCATCTTAATTGGAGCAGTGTTTAGTTAGTAGAAAAAGACTAACTTGAATCTTTGACTATGTGTTATTTAAAAATGATTTTAGATGGTAGTAATATATTGTTGATGAAATGACCTTCTTTTTTTTCTTTTCTGTTTTGTTTTTAAATCATAGGGCCCCTCGATTTAAAAGTTTCCAGCAACAGGATAGTCAGGAACTTCTGCATTATCTGCTGGATGCAGTGAGGACAGAAGAAACAAAGGTCAGGTTTTGTTAAGTTTATCACATATACTCTTTAAAAAGAGGGTACAAAACTGAAGGAATTAATTTCTGCCATCATTTTAATGTAGGTTAAGAAGTAATTTGATTTTTTTTTCTTTCTGCTTGTTCCCTTATATATATATTTCTTGCCTCTTCTTCTAAAATAATATTTTCTTTTACCCTGTTGCAACCCTATTATCCTTTATTAGTTAAGATCCTTTGGCTATAAATAAAAAAAAAATCAATGCGAGCTAACTTAAATGAAGAAAAGAGAATCTAAGAATCTAGGTGAAGGGAGGTACAGGTTGGGGATACAGGGACAGGAAGGTTCTCAGGAATCCAGAGAATATTCTCCTTATTTCCCTAGTTTCTCTGGCTCTGGATTTTCTTTGTTCATCTCCTCACAGAATGAGTAGTTTCTCTGCTTCTCTCTCTGAATGGTAGCACATTATCTTCATATTTTACATACGTTGCAGTTCTGCATATATAAAACCAAAACCGACTATGAATCCCAATTCTGAATTCTTAAGAGAGAAACTTTGTTACCCCATGTTGGATTAGGACACACCCAGGGATCAGTCACTTGTAACTAGGGGCATGGGATCCCAGCCTCCTGGATCAGGGAATGTTTCTGAAAAAAGAAAGAGTGGCTTATGGCCTGGGTAGATTTCCCCAAACAGTGTTCATTGTAATCTTATCTCTTGATTGATTGATGGTAGTTGACTTTAATATTAAATGAGTTAAATTTATCTTTTTTGTGGGATCCTGCAAATAGGATATAATTTTTCAGAGAAAATGCAAGATATTAAAGACGTTAAGTACATAGCATATATCTTCCATTCCCCTGCCCCCCACCCCATTTTTACTTATAGCAGACATTATTATTAATCATTCATAATAGTTCTGCTGAGTCTGGATTCAGCCTCAGAATCATTCTCAATCTAGCACTGCAGGCAGACCCTGTCAATCATAATTGTCATAGTAGGTGAAATCCTGTTTTCCATTCAAAGTAAACAGACTTCCTAATCTCTATTAATATGTAGGAAAGCAAACATGTGAAAATGAAGTACTCATGCTTGTGGTTGCTGTTACGATGCTGCTAGGCAAGGTGGACCTTCCTTTTTTTTTTTTTTTCTTTTTTTTTTTAACTCTTCCTTCAATTGTAATATTCCAGCTTTCAGTGAAGACAGAGGTAGGGCTCTCATATTTTCTTGTAAATTATCTTAAAGACAATTTAGTTAATTTCTAAAGTTAATCACTCCCTCCTGCTACCAAACAATGTTTATTACAATCCTATTCTTAATTGGCTATTTATTGGCTTTCATATTAAATTAGTTGAATTCAACTTTTGAAGGTGTCACTCCTTTCAGCCATCTCTCTACTTTATGTGTGTGTGTATATTTAAGTTTTATATATGCATTTTATATATGTATATATTTTTAAGTTTTTATTTTAGTTCCAGTTAACATACAGTGTTCTATTAGTTTCAGATGTACAATGTAGTGATTCAGTACTTCCATTCATCACCTGATGTCCATTGCAACAAATACTTCCTTAATCCCCATCACCTGTTTATCTATTTCCTCCCACTCCCACCTCCCCTTTGGTAACCATCAGTTTGTTCTGTATAGTTAAGAGTCTGTTTTTTAATTTATCTTTCTCTGTCTTTTTTTCTCCTCTTTGCTCATTTGTTTTGTTTCTTAAATTCACATATAAGTAAAATCATATTATTTGTCTTTGGACTAACTTCATTTGGCATTATACTCTCTAGTTCCACCCATGTTGTTGCAAATGGCAAGATTTTGTTTTATTTTATGGCTGAATAATATTGTTTGTGTGTGTGTGTGTGTGTATAAATATATATCTTTTTCCATTCTGTACATTGCCTTTTAGTTTTATTTCTTTTGCTGTGCAAAAAGCTTTTTATTTTAATGTGTCCCAATAGTTTATTTTTACTTTTGTTTCTCTTGCCTCAGAAAACATATTTAGAAAGAAGTTACTGTGGTCGATGTCAAAGTTGTTACTGCCTGTGTTCTCTGCTAGGATTCTTATGGTTTCAGGTTTCACATTTAAAAGTCTTTAATCCATTTGAGTTTATTTTTGTGTATGGTGTAAGGAAGTGGTCTAATTTCATTCTTTTGTATGTACCTGTCCAGTTTTCCCACCACCATTTATTGAAGAGACAATATTTTCCTATTGGATATTATTTCCTGCCTTGTCAGAGTTTAATTGACCATATAATTGTGGGTTCAGGAGTGCCTGGGTACTCAGTTGGTTAAGCATCTCAGGGTCCTGGAATGGAGCCCTGCATCTGGCTCCTTGCTCAGTGGGGAGTCTGTCTCTCCCCTTCCTTTTGCCTGTCCCACCTGCTCATCCTCACTCTCTATCTCAAATAAAGAAATAAAACTTTAAAAATCGTGGGTTTATTTCTGAGTTTCCTATTCTGTTCCACTGATCTATGTGTTGATTTTTGTGCAAGTTTCATACTGTTTTGATTATGCAGCTTTGTAATATAACTTGAAGTCCAGAATTATGATGCCTCCAGCTTTCCTTTTTTTTTTTTTAAGATTGCTTTGGCTACTTGGAGTCTTTTGTGATTTCATACAAATTTTAGGATTTTTTATTCTGGTTCCATGAAAAGGCTGTTGGTATTTTGATAGAGATTTGATAGAGATTGCTTTAAATGTGTAAATTGCTTTGGGTAGTATAGACATTTTAGCAATATTTATTCTTCCAATCCATGAGCATGGAATGTCTTCCCATTTCTTTGTGTCATCTTCAATTTCTGTCATCAGTGTTTATTATAGTTTTTGGAGTATAGGTCTTTCACCTCTTTGATTTGGTTTATTCCTATGTATCTTGGTTTTGGTGTAATTGTAAATGGGATTTTTTTTTTAAAGATTTATTTATTTGAGAGAGAGAAGACACAAGCATGCACGGTGGAGGAAGGGCAGAGAAAAAGGGAGAGGGAGAGAAGCAGACTCTTTGCTGAGCTGGGAGCCTGACACAGGGCTCGATCCCAGGACGTTGAGATCATGAACTGAGCCAAAATTGAGTCAGTCGCTCAACTGACTGAGCCGCCCACGCTCCCTGGGATTGTTTTATTTCTCTTTCTGCCGCTTCATTATTGGTGTATGGAAATAGAAATGCAACAAATTTCTGTATATTATTTAAAAAGATTCAATTTATTTATTTGACAGAGAGCAAGCGCAAGGAGGAGTGGCAGATAGAGGTAGAGGGAGGCAGAGGGGGAGGGAGTACCAGGCTCCCCTCTGAGCAGGGAGCCTGATGTGGGGCTCAATTCCAGGACCCCAGGACCATGACCTGAGCCGAAGGCAGATGCTTAACCCACTGAGCCACCCAAGCACCCTAGATTTTTGTATATTGATTTTGTATCCTGCAACTTTACTGAATTCATGTATCAGTTCTTGCAGTTTTTTGGTGCTATATATATATATATATATATATATATATATATATATATATAGTATTATGTTGGCTGCAAATAGTGGAAGTTTGACTTCTTCCTTACCAATTTGGATTCCTTTTATATCTTTTTCTTGTCTGATTGCTGTGGTTAGGACTTCCAGTACTATAATAAAAAATGGTGAAAGTAGACATCCTTGTTTTGTTCCTGACCTTAGGGGAAAAGCTCTCAGTTTTTCCTCATTAAGGATGATATTGGCTGTGGGTTTTTCATATTATGACCTTCATTATGTTGAGGTATATTCCCTCTAAACCTACTTTTTGAGGGCTTTTATCATGAATAGATGGTGTACTTTGTCAAATGCTTTTTCTGCATCTATTGAAATGATCATATGGTTTTTATCCTATGTTTGTGGATGTGATGTATCATGTTGCTTGATTTGTGAATATTGAACCACTATTGCAACTCAGGAATAAATCCCACTTGATCATGATGAATGATTTTTTTTTTTAATGTGTTGATTTGGTTTGCTAGTATTTTGTTGAGGTTCTTTTTTTTACATCTGTGTTCATCGGAGATGTTAGCCTATAGTTCTCTTTTTTTAGTGGTGTCTTTATCTGGTTTTGGTATCAGGGTAATGCTGGCCTCATAGAATGAATTTGGAGATTTCCCTTTCTTTTCTATTTTTTGGAATAGTTTGGGAAGAATAGATATTAATACTTCTTTAAATGTTTGATATAATTAACTTCTGAAGGCATCTGTTCCTGGACTTTTGTTTGTTGGGTTTTTTTTGATTACTGATTGAATTTTTTTGCTGGTAATCCATTTAAATTTTCTGTTTCTTCCTGTTTCACTTTTGGTAGTTTATATGTTTCTAGGAATTTAGTTTTCTAGGATGTCCAATTTGTTGGCATACAGTTTGACATACTATTCTTTTATAATTGTTTGTAATTCTGTGGTATTGGTTGTTATTTCTCCTCTCTCATTTGTGATTTTATTTATTTAAGTCCTTTCCCTTTTTTTCTTGATAAATCTGGCTAGAGGTTTATCAATTTTATAGATTTTTCCCCCAAAGAACCAGCTCCTAGTTTCACTGAGGTGTTCTATTGTTTTGTTTCATTTTATTAGTTTCTATATCATTTATTTCTGCTCTGATCTCTTTTATTGCCTTCTTTCTGGTGGTTTTAGGTTTTGTTTGTTTTTCTTTTTCTACCTCCTCTAGGTGTAAGGTCAGGTTGTTTATTTGAGAGTTTTTTGGCTTCTTGAGGTACGCCTGTACATACATCCTTCTTAGAATTTGTCTAGGAAACTTTTTCTCTCCTTCTATTCCAGATGATAGCCTTGTTGGATAGAGTATTCTTGGCTGCAGATTTTTCCCATTTAGCACTTTGAATAGATCATGTCATTCCATTTTGACTTGGAAAGTGTCTGCTGAAAAATCTCCTGATGACCTTATGGGCTTTCCCTTCTATGTAACTGTCTTCTTTTATCATGCTGCTTTTAAATTTTTTTCTTTATCACTGCATTTTGCCCATTTAATTACAATATGTCTTGGTGTGGATATGCTTTTGTTG